TCAGGTATTAGAAGACATTGATGTAATTCTCAAGGAACCTGGTCAGGTCTCCGTGTAAGTTTTAGTGAACGTTTAGTTCGCCTCCATGGGACCCAATGAGACTGCAAAGTCTTTAGAAGATGCAGGCAGGTGGGCCAGAGCCCTGGAGAGATGAGGGTGAAGGAAGCGGCTGGGAAGGACAAGGAGGCCCCTGGAGCCTTTCTAACACAAACACAATTCTGAGATCTTCTTTCAGCCTCCCACCCTCCAGAGCCATTAAATTATATACCTGTGTTACTCCCGGCCACCAAATTTGTGACAGTTCATTACAGCAGCAAAAGGAAACTAATACAATGCCACCAGGCTGATGAAAGAGCCTACCCCAGGCTGGAGAGATGGCTCAGCAGTTAGGAGCACGGGCTGCTCTTGCAGAGGACCTGGGTTCAATTCCCAGCACCAAGATGGCAGCTCACACTTGTCTGTAGCTCCAGTTCCAGGGGATCTGACACCTTCACACCAACATACACGCAGGCAAAACACCAACACATACAAAACAAGTTTAAAAGAGGGAGGGACTACCCTGGGCTGGCAAGAATCAATAGGACGAAAGGTGCCCAGAATACATGGAGTCTCAGGCTACCTTAGTAAGAAAGACAGTTCCAGTGAGAAGGGCTGATACCCCTCAGCGCTGACCCAGAATGCACGGGGAATTCTGTAGTCACTCTGACACTAGAGATCTAGAGCAGAAACTGAACTCTCTTGAAGAGTCCACACTTGAACACCCACTTGACACCTGAACCTGGGCAAAAATAGACCATGTGTGTTCCTCCCAAACACCTGCTGTGTCTCCTCAGGCTTGCCCCCCCCCTCCAGCCAGGTGTCCACCCCCAGACACGGCTAGAATCCCCCACAACCCCACCTCTGCTTGCTCCGCTCCTAATGGCTGCAGTCGCTGGCGCCTGTTGGTAAGGAAGATGTGGCATCTGATTGGGCTGACCAGTGATAGTGGGGCCACAGCCCGCTGAGGTCTGCACCACTGGACTCCTCCCCTGCCTCCTCCTCACAGTGCTCCTTCCCTGCCACTTTGGGCTGGCCACACTCACCACCTTCTTCCCGTTCCCACTTCCTAGCCCAAGCTCTTCCGCTAATCCCTCTTGGACTGATCCCTCCCTTTGGGTGTGTGTGTGTGTGTGTGTGTGTGTGTGTGTGTGTGTGTGGCTGGTGTGTCCTCTGAAAGGCTGCCTCGTCTGCATGTCCAGCTAGGACTTCCACTTGGAAAACTACAGGCTGCGATCTTAGATAGGCCATCCCCTAGGTCAGGGCACAGTTCAACAGAATCGCACAGGCCCAGACATGCTGCCCATGCAAGGACCCCCGGCCTCAAGGGCTCGCCGACTTTCCCTCTGTCCTGAGATGCAGCAGATGCCACTCGCTGTGCGCAGACCTAGAAATGAATCACATCTACTCACGAAGCCCTTGGGTCAGATATGAATGGGAGCCGCAGAAACTTCCAGGAAGGGTTGGTTGTTCTAGTCCCAGCAGACCTGCTCTCAAGCTGAGTAATGCGGCTGCCCTGCCTTGGCCTCCGAGCTCTGCTGCTGCATGCATCTCAACCGAGCAAGGCAACCTTTAACTAAGAGAAGCCATGGTCTCCTTCGGCCCACCTCTTCCCATATTGGTTTCTGGGGCATCGCGTGGAATTCTGCCTCCAGGCAGGGTTTGACTGGTTTTAGAAGTCACTTTCCCCACCAGAATCCAAGAAAGCTCTCTTGCCCTCTGTCGTATACCAGGGTCACCTTAATGTCCACTGGGCATGCTCCACCAGTGGAAGTCCAGTAGCAGGCTGCAAAGACTCATTCATGAGAATTCCCCTATGGGAACCTTGACCAAGCCAAAGCTGGAGGAGGGAACTCAGGCTGGAGCTGGGGGCAGGACAGAGCTGGGAAGATGTAAGGGGAATTCTAAACCCATGGAATTCACCAGAAGTCAGGGCCCTATACCATCCCAGAGAGCCTGGAAGAAAAGAATGGAGCCTGGGGGAACTGTCTCTCTGGACTTGTGCCACATGAGTCCCGGATAATGTTACAAAACAAGGCCCGTCTCTTTCTCAGAAACCATGCTGCCGCAGAGTGACAAAGGCTGAGAAAAAGCAGAAGGAGTTGGGGAAAAGGATTTGAAATTCCAGACCAAAAATTTTTTTAAAGATAGGAACTTTCTATGTAGCCCAGACTACCACAGAACTTAAAAAAAAATTCTATTCTATTTATTTTGTGTGCACGTACATATGTGTGAGTATTCTCACACATGAGCCACCATGTACACGTGGAGATCAGAGAACAATGCCCAAGAGTTAGTTACCTTTACCTGCTGAGCCATCTTGCTGGCCCTGCCTTCAGACTTCGGCTCCTTCTTGCCTCAGCCTCCCAAGTGCTGGGATTCTAGGTATGTAGTGCTTTTTTAAACAGGTTTTTTTTTTTTTGGGGGGGGGGTTAGTTGGTTGGTTTTGTTTTTGAGACAGGGTCTCTCTACATAAATTGGCCTTGAACTTACAGAAGTCCATCTCCCTCTGTCTCCTGAGAGCTAGAATTAAAGTCACATACCACCATGCCCAACTTTAAATAGTTGTTTGTTTGTTTTAGTTTTGTTTGCTTGTTGTTGTTGTTGTTGCTGTTGTTGTTGTTTTTAAATAGGATTTCAGACCTCAACTGGACAGGAAGGGTGACAGGAGTCTTGAGGGACCAGAATGGAGAACCTCCTTGGACAGGCAGCTCCTCCCCCAGATACCCCAAGTCCTGTCATGAAAGGCCTACAGACTCGAGATTTGATGTTCAGCCTACAGTCACTGGGAAATGCAAATTAACATGAGAAGGATACAGCCCCATTCAAGACCACAAAATAGAGACTGATAAGATCAAGCGTCGTCGGTTAGGATGTGGGAAGCTGCTATTGTTTTACACTGTTGTGGGAAAGGACATTGCCCAGCACTCTGGACGGCATGTCATTTCACTCCAGTGCACGTCTGCCCTGTCAACCACCAGCATTTTCTTGTTTCTTCTCTAGGAAAGAACCACCCTTACTCCCCAGACAGCAACACACAAAAGTCAGGGATGGGGCCACCAGCTGGCGCATGCCTTTACTCCCAGCATTTGAGAGGCAGAGGCTGGCCAATCTGTCAGTTCAAGGCCAGCCTGGTCTACACATCAAGTTCTAGGCCAACCAGGAGGACAGAGTGAGACCCTATCTCATAAAAAAACAAAACAAAACAATAGTACTGGGAACCTCATTGTCCACTCACCAGGGGTGTGAATGGGCAGATGGTCTGCTCTCCAAGACCTATTGTAGACTCTGTCAAAGCCAATGAAGACTCATGATTGGGTGTGGCTGTGGCGCATCCCTGAAATATACCCAGCACTCTAGAGGTATTGCAGACATCCTTGACTACCTGGGAGTTCAAGACCAACCTGAGCTACACAGACCTTATCTCAAAACAAAAACAAAGACAAACTATGCTTGCCTAGCACACCCAAAGCCCTGGGCGCAATCTCACACGCTGCATATGTCAAACATGGAATCTAAGCAACCAGGAAGTGGAGGGAACGGAGGGGAACTAGTTCAAGACCATCCTTGTTTACACAGCAAGTTGGAGGCCAGCCTGAGCTAAAAGAGACCTTATCAAAAACAAAACAAAGCCCTCTGTGTATTTTGATAAAAAGTGATCCAAATACAGATATGCATTTGTAGAAGCCTGTAAATCAAACAGTAAAGTAAGAACATGGTTACCGCTCGGAAGGAATCAGTGTAAGACAATCAGCTTTGTCAGAGCACTTACAGCTTTTGTTTGGGATATTTTCACATATTCCAGATGGTATTAAGTACATTGTTTATTTTAATTTTAAAAGTGCTTTCACAGATATAGAAGATGGTTCTGCCAGTAAAGGCACTTGCTGCCAACCCTGATGACCTGAGTTCAATTCTGACCTCCCCATGTACATGAGTGTGCATTCCTGCCTCTGACCAAAAAAGCTTCCAGTCTGTAGACTAAAGGATGCAGATGTGCTTCACGTACTGGACAAGCTTCCCAACTTTCACCTCACACCCTTCCCTTTATCGCCCAGGGTCCTATTGCTCTAAACTCCTACCTTCCCCAGATGAAGGCTTGGGGCTTGGGAGGGCAAGGGGGGTCCTCTGCTCACCTCTGCCCTCTCCGGGGCACATGTCCCACTGCCCATTGGAGATGGAAGGGCCACTTTCCTACCATCTCCCTCTCGCCTCAGCCCACCCTTTTCTTCACACCTCCATAGCAGAGATACCACATGCCACACCAGCCTGATGCTGTCCCTTGGCTCCCCTCCCCCAGCTTCCATTCAACCATGAGCCTTTTCCCCCATGCAGACCCTAGGTTCCACGAAGTTCCATCTGAGTCCCCTGTCCTTCCCACATCCTATTGCCTAATGTGGTGTTGGCCTCGAGGAAGTGTCCAGTTTTCCTAACTCATTGCCCAGACTCATTTCTGGGGCTTCCAACAACAGAGCCAGAGACACCACGGACTTTCCTCAGGGACAAGTGTCCACCTTGTGCTCCAAGGCACCCAGCCCACACCACTGGCTGGCCAGATCCTCACCTCTGCTCCTCATCCACTCTCTGCTCTCTTTCCTGAGACCTTCCAGCTTATATGGAAGCATCAATAGCCCGATACCATCCTCCAGCCAAAATGGCCCACACAGGTTTCTTTTCGTCTATCCAGGAACCCCACTGGACCTGCAGTAAGAGGACACGAACAGCTTTCTCTTGCCCTGGATTCAACTCGTGGTGAATGAATGAACTACTCCCAGGCATCTGCGGGTGTGAAAAGGAGGCACTCTGCTTTTGCCCTTCAGTTTATCCACCCACCTGTGGATACGTGTATATTACAGTTGCCTCCTGCGCCCCCTCACTCCAGTTTGGGTGGGTGGGATGAGGTGACAAGTGGCCCTGTCCTCCCCTGCTTCAGCCACTGGCTTGGGCTGCTGCCATCTCCTTACCTTTGGGAAGGCTCGAAGCATCCCCAGGAACAGCAATCCCATTGCCGCACGGAGGGCGCTCATCCTGGCTCCGGGAGTTTAGCTCCAGCGCCTGGCCACCTGCCGGCACCCTGCCTCTCGCGGTGAAATCACTTCTAATGTAGCTGCGCCTTCCTCGGGTTCAGCCCTAATTCTTCCCTCCTTCCCCCCTCCCTTACCACCTGTGATGCAGCGATCTGCTTCCCTGTGAAGCCTAAGAGAGAAGGGGCCACCGCGTGCAGAGATGACTCAGGACTAGCCACAGCGCACATACTCAGGAGGCTCCCCTGAGGCACGCGCCCCGCAGTTTGAATGGTCCGCCCCGGATTTGAGGAGGAACCGGGGACTGCCGCTCAGCCCTGAAGGTGGAGTTTGAGAGGTACCTGGAGTCCTGAGGCCCCTACCCCCATCCCCAATCCAAGGAAGGGTGAGACAGGAACGGTTTCCTGCTCTTGACACTACACAATGAGAAACCTGGCCTTCTCCTGTGTCGTTGGGATTCTTTGGAAGGGGCAGAGTCAGAATATTTCCGAGAAAGGGAGCTTTTCTTGATCGTGAAGATTTGCTGTAAAATAAATGAGTGCATGGGGGAATGAATGGATGTATAGAGAACAAATGGATGGAAAGGTGGATGGGTGAATGGGAGGATGAGGAGGAATGTATGGATAGACAGACAGGTGGAGGATAGTGAATAGAGATGGATGGATGGGAGGATGAATGAATTGATGGATGGTGAGATGGATGAAGAAATGAGGAGATGGGTGGGTGGGTGGATGGAGAGATGGGGTCAATCAATGAATGGGTGAAAGGTGACTAAGTGGGTGGGAGGGTGGAGGGATTTATGAAGAGATTAGGAAATGGATATATGAGTGGGTACGTGATATGAGGACTGAGGAGATGAGTGGATGATAGATACCTGGGATAATGGGGAAATGGGTGAATACAGTGATAGATGGATAGGTGGATGGATGCATGTATTCATGGAGCAAGGGTAGGCAGGTGGGTGGACTGACTACTGAAAGAACTATGTGAAGACCAGGGCATCTGTGTATCGATCCACAGCTGTCCCTGCCCGCCCCCCACCCCCATACTTTCTTACCTGAAGGAAGTACCTGACACCCTTACCTACAAATAAGCCTCACCTGAAACCTTATTCTATTCCCTTTTGGGGGGGCTGCTGTTCCCACCCAGGGCTCCCCCAAGCCCCAGGCTCCCATTTTCCTTCAGTTAATACCTTCAGCACGTGGTCACTGATTGAGCACTGACTAGCAGGTGCAGCCTGCTTTCGTCTGGTTTTTGTTTATTTGTTTTGTTTTCTTTTCAAACATAGAAACCAACACTGAGAAACGGGCAAGCTGTCTGTGTGTTCTAACAATGGGACGCAAGGACCTTTTGGTTTCCACACTTCAGTCTGGGTTCAGTGTTAGGCCCCCTCTTTGGTAGAGGGCCAAGTAACCAGCTGCCACTTCCTACGAGGACCTTCCAAACAAAATCCCTTCAAACTTTCTATTCCACACTTAGAGCTCTCCGAGGTCCACATCCTACCTGGAAAATCCATCCATCCCTCCTGTATGTCTTCTGTAGAGCCACTGAGAACCCTCCCCCGACCTGATGATAAAAGTGCCCACCTCTAATAATCACAGGGCCAGGGAGGGACTGAGGAAGCTCGAGCCCCTGTTTCCCAGAATGCAGCTAGTGTTTGCAGTGAGCTGCTGTTTGTTAGATACTCATAGAGAATAAAACGGTAGCATCCAAATAGCTTGCAGCAGATGAGAACCAAGTGAAAATCACACATTGTGAAAGTCCAACCTTCCTAGTAACCAGAGGCATGCAAATAAAAGCAGACTTTATTAGTGCCCTGGGCCTGTTAGGTCAGTTTGTTTTTTATTTTTAATTCACAGTAACAGTTAGGGGCAAGCAGGAGAACTTCATCCTCTGTGCGGAGCCCTGGTACAACCTCTCAGCATCACAACGGTTCTTAGCAGAAGCAAAAGAACATTTTTTTTTTTTAGAAGTGTACAACTTAGTGCTCCATAATTTCACCAGCAAAACAATGAAAAGTAACAGTCCAACTTGGAAATGAAAAAAAGAAAACTACAAATTCACCAATGTCTCCTTAAACGGTATTTATAAATGTTGGGAACACTCTGAGTCACAGTAGGAAAACTGAGGTCCACCAGTTAAAGGGATATTACACATCCAAGCAAAATGATAATACTATGGCTGAAGAAATTTGTATACTATCCTCCACACACAGGCAACTTCTGCTACACACATGTCCCCAGGCCTTTGTTCAGCATGGACCCTAACAGAGGTTCACTGTAACTGGGGGAAGGGCCTCACCCCTGGAGACTTTTATTCTTTAAAACAACAACGACAATTGATTGATTGTTTTAGTGTGTGCACACGTGCACGTGACACACGTATATGTGAGTCTGTGAGTCTGGATGCACAGATGCCACAGGGAATGGGTGAAGCTCAGAGGACGACTTTCCGGAGTTGACTGTCTCCTCTCTCCTACCTTGTTTTGAGGCAGGATCTCTACTATTGTTTCTGCTGGACTACTGTGCACTCCAGGCTAGCTGGTCCAAGACATCCCATCTTGCAGAAGCACTGAGATCACCAATGTGTCCCACCTCATCTGGCTTTTTACGTGACTCAGAGGTTCAAATCAGGTGGTCAGTGTTCGGTCTCAGACAGTCCATATGTGTCAGGATGAGCTCAAGCTGGACTATACACGGATTTCTGGCAGTTAGACAAAAGCTGGCATTCCTCAGGAACTTGTGAAATGGTTCCAAAGGGAGTCATTTCCTTGCCTCTGGCAGAAGGGACATGGGCTCTGTGGACACAGACCTGTGGTTGCAGGCCTCCAAGCTCCCTCAGTCCCTGCTCACAAGTACTTGTGATACAGCTCAAAGTCCACACTAGCCTCCTGGCCCTTCCCATCCCGCAGCTGCTGTCCTCCTTATAATCCATGTGATTTGTCCACCCACCCCCACCCCACCCCACTCTCTCCCTTCTCTTACAGGTGGCCCTGGCCATGCCCAGGCTACTTCTCTTTCTCTCTGCTCTAGACTCTTCCAGATGCCCCTGGATAGTTTCTCTCTCCTGTTGGCAATAAAAATCTTTCCCTTAGCTGTACCATGGAGCGGCCATTTCCATGGTTTTACTTTACTGCCCCCCACCCCAGGTCAGGCTTTTACCCAGGAAGCCACCTCACCAGTTCTGTACTCTCGATTGGACAGTACAAACTATGGCCTGTTTTGCCTGCTTACTCTGTGCTAAGGTTTTACAGAACTCGCATGAAGATCTGACTGTTGAGCCCATTTAGCGAGTGAGAAACTACGGCCCAGAGCAGGTGATCTGTGATTACTTCCCTCCAAGAGGAAAGCACTGGGAGTTGCAGCTGCTGCAGTTCGAATCCCCTGGGTTCCCTCTCATTCCTTCTCGATCCCCCTGCAGCACTTGACCTGCCCCCCACACTCTCCACTCAGAACCCAGGGCTGTCATTCTAAGGGCAGCTTGCCATCTGTAGGTTATCTAGCACGGTTCCCTCCACTTTTCAGTCTAGAGCCGTTTCTGCTGTGTTGGGTCTCAATTCTAGAGCTGATCTAAGTGAGCATGTCATAACATGATGCCTATACGGGCAGGTTTTGTGTCAACTTGACACAAGTTAGAGTCATCAGAGAGGAAGGAGCCTCAGTTGAAGAAATGCCTCCATGAGATGCCGCTGTAAGGCATTTTCTTAGTGATGAATGTGGGAGGGCCCAGTGCATTGTGGGTTCTGCCACCCCTGGGTTGCTGGGCCTGGGTTAAGCAAGAAATCAGGCTGAGCAAGCCAGGGGAAGCAAGCCAATAAGCAGCACCCCTCCATAGCTTCTGCATCAGCTCCTGCCTCCAGCATCCAGCCCTGCTTCAGTTCCAGTGATGGACTATGATCTGAAGTGTAAGCCATGACTACTTAGCTGGAGAGAAAACTACATCCTGCAGCCAGGGAGAGTGAAAGGCAAGCATCCCAGGGAAGCAGCTGCTCCTGGGACTCAGAACAGAGGCCCTGGTGCCATCAGCAGGTCCCAGGCAGTTCATGAACCCCTAAGCAGGTGTGAAAGTGCTTTGAAGACCAGGAGGGGAAGTCCCTAGGTTGAGAGCAGCAGCCCCCGTGTGACTGCAGGGGCCTGTGCCCGCTGTGGAGGCCGTGTCCCCACACCCGCCCGAGGCTGGAATCTGGCGGTGTGAGCCACTAGCCCTTAGCCTTGTCTTAGCCAGGTCCCCAGAGCAAGGAGAGGGCCAGGGGCACAGTGGAAAGCTGTCAAGGGGAACAGGAATCGTGCTACCTAAAGGATGCTGAGCAAGATGCCAGTCCTGACTAGGCTCAGGAAATTCAGGGACTTCCCCAGCGGCTGGGAACCCCAGCCCCAAATGGCCCCAAAATACCCTCAAGCAGACAGAGATTGCTTCTGCCTCAATCAGCAGCAGGCAGGTAGGCGGCTGAGAGTTGGAGAGAAAAGCGCGGACTTTTCTCCTCGCATCGGCCCAGGACTTTTCTTTTCTTTTCTTTTTTTTCTTCCTTCCTTCCTTTTGAGATAGGGTCTCGTATAAAATACCCTTAAGCTCATTACGTGACCGAGGATGACCTTGAACCTCTGTTCCTCTTGACTCCACCTCCAAAGTGCTGGGATTACAGTCATGGACCCCTATACCAAGCTTACACTTCCCGTGTGCTAGGCGAGCAGTCTACAGCGCCCCACCAGGGGTTTTCCTTGATGAAGCAGGCCTCTCCATTAGGTGGCTTCAGGGAGTCATCTCTAGTCTGTCTCATAGCTGGGTCTCAGGCAGTTGTACTGTATGTCAGGTTACATCTAACACAAGTTCTCATATCATTTGGTGCCCCCAAGGTCAGTGTGTTAGGAGCTTGGTCTCCAGTGTGGCAGTGTGGAAGCTGCTGGCGGATTCTTGAAGAGATACAGTCAAGCCAGTGGTCCCTAGGTATTTGGGAACCTACCCTCAGAAGGGATTTGGGATTCTTAGTCTGTGGATTCCTGTTCTGGGTTGTTGCTGTGTTTTGGTGTTTTTGTTTGTTTTGTTTTTTGCTTTTGTTTTTTCCTTTTTTGAGACAGGGTCTCATGTAGTGCAGGCTGGTCTTGAACTTGCTGTATAGCCAAGGATGACCTACCATTCCCCTCTATAGGTGACCAAAGTGAGTCTCAGAGTTGCTGAGTAACTCCCCTGAGGCCGCGCAGGTGGGACAGCTAGGATTTGGTTCAAGCCTTGTCTGGCTCTCAGACCTCCTGCTGTCCTCCTTCCCTCAGCCCCTCTTGCCCTGGATTTTGCTCAAAAGAAAGAGCACTTGGAAAGGAGTCTTGCTCAGGCCCCAGGGCTGTGGACATACCACTTCACTTTGAATGTGAAGGTGATGCGTGTGCTACCATCGGCTCCATTTTACACGCCAAAACCTCCGGGAAGCATTGTTTAGCACTTTCTGTGGGGCAGCAATG